CCCACTCCCCCATCCCCCCACACACCCCAAAGGTCTCCAGAAATAGGCTTCCCCCGGTGAGAAAGAAGTCTCCTAATAGCTATTTTTAGCTCCTTAAGGTGATTCTCCAACGTTGCTACATACCTGGAAGCCAATCAAATGCTTTTTCTAAACAGAGATGCCAGGGCCACACCCCAGAACAGAATCAGGAAGTTGAAGAGCACATGAATATGTTGAAAAGTCCCTGTGGCCGATGTGCCAGTTTAGGAGACCACGTTTCTAACCAATATTATAGCCTGAGAGTCTCGGTGTCTCCGGGTGAGGCAGCTGACTGTCCTCACCGTCTCAGTCATACAAGCTTTCTGAAAGGGTTTTGTTTTGTTTGAAATCGAGCCTCTCCACCTCAAGCTGGGATCAGACCACTTTCCCAGTGCTGCCAGTGCAGGTGTAATACGATATTGGCCACCTGTAATCACCTGCAGACAGAGTTCAAGGCCAGCTTAGGCTCCATAGGGAAACCTTGTCTCCAAAAAGAAATGGGGGAGGGGGAACGCATGTAAGTTCAACAGCTGTTTTAATGTTAGGCTCAGAAATCCATCCTGAACAATAGGTACTATTGCAGGAATTGTATTTGTCTGAGTCCTTAAATTTACAGAAAAACATCTTTAATTAATCCCTTGAAAAAATCTCTGCTGACCTCTTACGTGTTAGATACGCGGAGGTTTCTGCATAGACTAGAACAAAGCTCTCTGCCTTCAAGAAGTTGACAAATTTCAAGGATTAACAGATAGTATGTCAGAGAGTGATAAATGCTGTGGAGCAAAAATAAGGAAAGTGTAAAGGATTAGTGTTGATTGAGTAAGGGCTCTGTTGATAAGGTGAAGAAGCCTGACTTGCTTCTTCCAGATAGAGAACAGGTAGCAAATACAAAGGGCCTGAGGCAAATAGAGATCTGGTTTAGTAGAATAACAACCTGGAGTCAGTGTGACTAGAATGACTTAAACAAGGTACTGAGAGGAACTTTAGATAAAAACTATTGTGGTGATTTGAATAAGAATAGCTAGCCCCCATAGGTTCATTTATTTGAATGGTTGGTCCTCAGGGAGCGGAACTGCTTAAAAGGATTAAGAGGTGTGGCCTTGTTGGAGGAAGTATGTCACTTAGGTTTGCAAAGAATGCTTGCAGAGTTTTGTCACTAAACTAGCTAGTATCAAGAGTGAGAACAGATGTAAGTTCTGCATCTAATTATTATCTGTAAGTTTTTCTGTATTTCCAAGATTATTGAGAAGCACATTGGTTATTCCAATAAATACAACAGAATTTAAGTAGAAACTTTAAATTTACGAAGTACTTTCAAATATATTATCTCTAATTCTTGCAATTAGTAAGATGTGTTCTAATTTAGACAATAAGTAGATTTCATTATATGAATTTATTGTAATTCATTGGCTATCTTTCTAAGCAATAACATGGTTTCTAAATTTTGTTTTTTGAGACAGGGTTTCTCTGTAGCTTTGGAGCATGTCCTGGCACTCTGTAGACCAGGCTAGGCTCAAAATCACAGAGATTCACCTGCCTCTGCCTCCAGAGTGCTAGGATTAAAGTCGTGCCCCACAGCACCTGGCTCTAAATTTCTATTAAAAAAAAAATTACTGTGCAGCCAGTAGGTGGTGGAGCATGCCTTTAATCCCAGCACTCCAGAGAGGCAGGTGGATGTCTCTCAGTTGAAGACCAGTCTGACCTACTGAGGGAGTTCCAGGACAGCCAGGGAGGACTGCACAGAAAAACCCTATCTCAAAGGAAGGAAGGAAGGAAGGAGGGAGGGGAGGGAAGGAATGAAGGAAATACTGTTATAAGCACTGTGTTCATACATATATGTCTCTAATTATTTCTTCTGAATAATCTTAAAAATGAAATTGCTGATTTAAATATGGCCATTTTAAAGGTTTTTAATAATAAAATCCAAATCCCTTAGGCTATTAAATAACCATTAGGCTAGGCAAGAATTCTCTGAACAGAATAATAGCACAGGACTAGCTCCAAATTTCAACAGATGGCAACTACATGTAATTAAAAGTTTCTACATAGCAAAGGAAAATATCAGTAGAGTACAAAGACAGTCCACAGAATGGGAGAAAATCTTTACCAATTATACCTCAGACAAGGGACTAATATCCAGAATTTGCCAAAAACTAGAAAAGAACTCACCTAAAATGGCCCAGCCATCAAAGGGGCTAAAGGATATTTAAAAAAAAAAAAAAAAAAAGAATGAAAATGCAAGTTAATGGCTAATAACTATTTTTTAAAATGTTCAACTTCCATAGTCATCAGAGAAATGAAAATAAAAACTACTTTCAGATACCACTTCACCCCAGTCAAAAATGGCTATCATCAAGAAACCTCAACACAAATGTTGGAAAGGATGTGGAGAAAGAGGAACCCTTATTTAAAAAAAAATAGTTTTGATGCATTTTTTTCATGAACATGAATGAAGTTAACTTTCAGTTTATTCACATTTATCACTCCAAAGATCTCTATTTCCTCATATTCCACTCATTTCTGAGTCCACTCTGGCCAGATTTTCCCTCATATCACTCTATCAAAACTGCTTTCATCAACACTGGTTTATTTCCATATTTTTTGCATTAAGTGTACACGTCTGACTCCTAACCATCATTGTCTTCTCAAAAGGATTTAACAGTGTTGCCCTCTCCCTCTTCTGGAATCACTTCCTTGGCTCTCAAGACACCACCCTCTCCTGATTTTCCTCCTGCCACTTGAACTGCTGTTTCCATGCTACATACTGTCAAGAGGCCCCCCACTACCATATTTAGGCTTAGTGATTTTCTGAATGAACCTACACAATTTCAAAAGTCTAACTATAGTTTATTAAAGTTGACAGGTATAGGTGAAAATCATCAAAGGCATGGAGAACAAAGTTCAGTAGAAAACATGCTCAAAGTTTCCAGGTGTCCCCAAATGTTAAAGTTATTAGTTCTCCAACAATGATATGTGTCAGTATGTATATTGAGCTGCCAATCAGGGAAGCTCACCCAAGCCATGCTGTCAGGATCTTTATGGGGAGTCAGTGCTATAGAAATGCAATCCCCTTGTGACATCTCAGCTACTCACCTTGTCTTCCCAGAGGTCTAATGTACACTGTGTCCACTTCTTCCAGCAGACAGAAACTCAGAGTGTCCTAAGGACTCAGACATTATTTCCCAAGAAGCCTGATGACAAGCTTTTCGTTAAATGTGCACAATTTGAAAAATTAGTTCTACTAAGCTAACTTTTTTGTTTCTTTGTTTTTGTTTTTCAAGACAGGTTTCCCTGTAACAGCCTTGGCTGTCCTAGAACTTTCTTTGTAAACCAGGCTGGCCTCAAACTCACAGAGATCCATCTGCTTCTGCCTCTGGGGTGCTGGGATTTAAAGGCACAAGCCACCACTGCCCTTCATAAACTAACGTTTCATGTGCACAGCCATTAAATGTTGGAGTTTCTCAAATCCTGACTGTAGTTTCTCTTCTCAGTCATTTTTTTCCCTAGATAAATTCATTCATGCCATAGGTTCATTTACCATTGATACAGTGACCACTCCCAAAATGCTATCTATCTTCCTTTGAAGTCTAGGCCGGTTGCATATTGCCTTCTTTCCTACTGATGAAAGGCTCCACAAACTAGCATGTCGAAAATGCACACGCTCCCTGAAGATGTTCCTTATCTTCCACATTGTCAATCTCAGTGAATGGTATTATTATTATTCACTGGGTTGAAGTAGATAGAGACAATAATTAATAATAATAATAATAATAATAATAATAATAAAATAGTAATAATAATTCTTTAGGAAGAAAGTTGTTGTGAGATATTAGTTGAAGATGTGTTACCTTTGTGCTGTGGAAGATTCTTTTATGTTGCATTTGTTTAATTCTGGAAAGCTGTGCTACTTAATACCTGATTGGTCTGATAAAGAGCAGAATGGGCAATAGCTAGGCAGGAGAAAGGATAGGCAGGACTGGCAGGCAGAGAGAATCAATAGGAGAGAAACCTGGGAAGAGGGATCAAGGATGGAGAAAAGGAGGAGCGAGAAGAACGCGAGTGTTACAATAAATCTTTCCGCCAAAAGCCGCTGAGCCCCACCGCCATGTGTATGCTTTATGCCAGTAGCCTGCCCG